AGGAACCGGACCATAACAACAATAAAACGTAATTAATGTTGATATTATTTTGTTTATTTGTCATATGTTCATCTATATGTGCGCAAGTTGCACCAAATCTTGACAAATAACAGATTAACTTATGGGAATGTGTGTGCAGTTTAAAAATTTAATGCTGTTTGTTAAATGTTAGTTTTGAACATAAAATCACGTAAAAGGCAACAATTCATAAATGATATTTTGAGATTGGTTAGACTTTTGAAGTGATGAATTATTTCTAAGAATTATAGACGTTTTTTTAATTTTTTTAAATAAATGATAAATCTATTTGTTGAGATGTATAACTTCTATATGACTGCAGATTATAATTTTAATATCCTTTTCGTCTGGTTCATAATTACGATAGATAGGCTATAATAAAACAATTGGGTCTTTATTTTTGTTTATATCAAGTTGGTTGCTTATATTATTTAAAAAAAATAAAGCTAATTTTATTTCTTCATTAACAACATGGTTTGGGAAATTATTTTTGATATTTGTTTGTATTATGTTGCTTAAATCTCTCTCTATAACATCTAGACTATATAAAAATAATATTGTTTATGAATTATTCTGTCATTTGTGAGATAGTATTGTCAAAATTAATAAAAGAAAAGTTATTGAGATAACTAATAAAGAATAAAAGGTATTCGATAAAGCATACACATTTGTAAAATATATACATTTTAACTTAAGAAAAAGCAATCCAATTATAAGAACAGAAAAAGATTCTTCAATAAATCTGACCTCATCCTTACGTATGACATGGCTTAAATATCAGAGGGGACTGCACACTTTATTTTTTTATGTTGGCCATCAATTTTCCGGTGGTCACTATTATTGTATTTTGTGGTCACTGCTTGACCTTATTGATAATCAAACAGGAAATCAAATCAAAAGATTCTATGGAGGCACATGTTGGTTGTGACATAATTGCAAAGATTCACAGCTTGCAAATCTTAGACATGTGGCAAACGGTGATCCTGCTGAAAGTCGTACGGCTAATCCTTTGATTCATTGATTGACCAACCTGCTCATCAGTTCTTTAGAAGTTAAACTCTCTGTGGGTGTGTGTGAATTCTAACTGATAATTAGAAAAAAGAAAAAAAAAACGGATTCGAATCTCACTATGGTTGATTTGCCAGGAAGGTGAGTTCTCGATATTATCAGTCTGAAATGGTGACCACAGCGGGCAGTATATCAGGAAAATGTCTCTACACCATATTACGGATTAACTCAAATCTTCTGTGGCAGATTGGCTAGAATAAATTTTTCGGAAGTTATCAATATTTGAGCTAGGAAGAAATCACAAGTCAATTTGACCGAAGATTTTGAGTTTGCTGCCCTTGATGCCAAAATTTTATCACGCCATATTATGAAATTACTCCCCAAACTGTAACTAATATTTGCTCAGCATAATTGCAATATAAATCACAGGTAGATGCAGTTGGTTTTGCAGGTAACTGTAATAGGGATTTGTCATCTGGCAGACAAGTGCGGTATGCACGGAAACGGGTAACCAACCATTAGATATATGCAGAGATAAATAAGAAAGAATGTATTAACGTATACCTACATATATTTGACAAGGAAATAAATATATTTACACTATTTATATTGTTCGAGACATTTCGTTGTATGTTCCGGTCTTCTTCAGCTGATATCCGTTGGAATTTCGAACAAACCCTTTATTTAATCAACCGGGGTAGATTGTTCTAATTCTACATGCCATACCTTTTCTGGATATTTCAGTTTCAGTTTTTTTTCATCTTAACTCTCCAAGACCTCCCATAGAGGAGAAAATGATTGAGTGTACAATGACCCATGTAGCTGTGGTGAGAAATAGAAAGCAGAAATATACCCCCCACTTTCAGATAAGACTGCAGGGACACTATAAAACCGCAACGCGAGAGAAAATAGGTGTGGCTGATATGGAAAGAAAAGGGAGATCACACACCCTTTGAAATGAGCTTGAAATAATAGAGAACCTCAATGGAAAATATGATAACTTCAGTGCATCTGCTAGGCCACAACATAGGAACGAGTAATACAGAGTGCTAAAGAACAAAAAAAAAAAAAAAACTACCAACAAATTGTAATATGAGTTCTGGTAAAAAAGTGTAACTGATACATTAGGCTTATAACATGCAAACATTCATTCACTGGGATGCCCAAGAATACATGACCCAGTGGATAAAAGCGTCGGTTGAAGTAATCAATTCACTGAAGGAAAGGTCTTGTGAGTTCAATATCTGGTCACAACAGAGTTGAAAAAAAATTACTAGACAGAAACTTGATACTACTGCTACTACTACTACTAATAATAATAAATAGCAGTAATTAATAAGTAATGAAAGAAAATACCAAGTAACTTTAATAACATATAACTACTGACACAATATTATTCTTAATCTTACAAATAATCACCAAATGACTTAAATATAAAAAAGAAATTACTACTTCTCCCTTAATGATCCATGTAAATGATAACAAAAATTTCTGGGTTACGAATATACCAAAAAATGTAAGCATTTTCTCTCCTGCAGTTACACTTATTCCATAACCATTGGAATAACACTATAATCATGAAATAAAAGCTATCTTTCCACATCTGACAAAACGAAATAGTCGAGTTATACTTCTAGACACTTTCTATTACTTACTATTGCGTTCATACGAAAAAGATTGTCAGCATCCATTGCTGATGTACATGAACTATACATGAACTATACTTACACACAAACTTATATATATATATATATATATATATATATATATATATATATATATATATATATATATATATATTGCAATCTCCTATTGTGAACAATAAATGAGGGTCAGCAGTAGATGGTGCCTTTCGTTTTACACTTATGCATGATAGCAGGGGTTAGTGTGGAGAAAATCGGATAAAGGGATCACATATTTCATTTGTGCTTTCTTCAGTGCGACACTAGCCCTGCCTTGATGCTAGCGACAAAGCCACACTGACAGATTGATACATTATTTGTATCTACTTTGAGCAATATGAATGTCAAATTACTATCTAAGTTTAACAGAAGAATCATGATGTGTGTGCGTGTGTGTCTATCTGTGTGTGTGTGTGTGTGTGTGTGTGTGTGTGTGTGTGTGTGTGTGTGTGTGTGTGTGTGTGTGTTATTCTAGGATGATTTTCCAACTTATTCAAGATGATCTTCACCCTTTCTAAACTTTTAACTTACTATCCTGGAGTAACAAGGCGGCTCATGGGTTCAACGTACGATTTCCTTTTCAAGTCCTTTTTCCGGACTCTTTGAACTATAATAGCTGAAACACATCTTTCCACTGCCGAACGTCTTATGAATTGAGTTCGATCTTTTCTAATTGATATCTTTAGTTCTAAGTCGAAATGATGGTCCCTTTTGGTGTTATGACCTCCCAATCCAGTTTTCCTCTCTACTGTTCCCGCTTTTTTAAACTTATTCTCCGTTCACTTGATGATTCTTTAATGGACTTTGAAGATGAAAACCAGATTATGAATGATGTTACCATTACTTAAGGCCTGAATTTTATTTATCCTTTCACTATTGCTAAGTTGGGAAGACAGTAGGTCTAGCACAAAATGATTTTCACCTGTTCTGTTTGTGGCTTACTAACGTAATGAGTTTTTCAGCGATTCTTACCAAAATTGGCGCCAAGGTGGCTTGACGTCTTATCTGAAAACCTGGAAAAATCTTTGAATGCTGGAAAAAATTAGTTTAGTGTTTTGTTAGTGTTGTGGTACGATACACCTAATTTACATAAGTGGAGTACCGACCATATAAATATGGGTTGGTACCGGGAAGACGGAAGTAGGAAGTATTAAGAGATCGAATCGAGAGACTCTGCCCGACTGCGATTTAGTCAACCCATTCTGCAGGAACAGTCTTCCCAAGAATATACCAAAACTAACTGTAAATATTGTGTACCTTTTCCTTGTTTCAATACATTTTGTTTACGTACATTTTGTGTTGTATTATTATTATTCCATGCTTATCCAAGTTTCAACAGTTAGATAGTAAATATTTTGCAGTATGGAAAATTATGCTGTTGCACACACACACACACTATATATATATATATATATATATATATATATATATATATATATATATATATATATATTATAAATTAATTGATTTAAAATATGGTTTTTCGCTACACAGTTCTAACCATGTTACAAAAATGGAAGCTGAAAGGATGAAAAAGAACTAATATCTTTAATTTAATTACAAAATTAAATTCGAAGCTTTCAGTTTCCATTTTTTGAAACATGGTTAGAACTGTGTTGCGAAAATTATTTCAAATCAATTAATTCATAATATTAATGCTCTGTAAGTTTACATTGAGCACTATTTTGCAAAATAAAAATATCCATAAGAACACCAGATTATATATCTTACTGTTCTTTCTTTTATATATATATATATATATATATATATATATATATATATATATATATGTATGTATGTATATATGTGTGTGTGTGTGTGTGTGCGTGTGTGTGTGCTGGCTGCAACACCCAAATTGTCCAATTGTTATATTAAGAATTGAACCTTTGTATCTTATTTATAACATTACTGTGCGTAATACGAATGTATAATTACCAAATATATATATATATATATATATATATATATATATATATATATATATATATATGTGTGTGTGTGTGTGTGTGTGTGTGTGTGTGTGTGTGTGTTTATTAAGGTTGATTGATTCGTTTACTACGGATAGTTAAAGCCAGAAAATATTTTTATATTTTAAAGAACTGTTGGGTATGGAAGATAATAATAGGTTATTTTTACTAATTAACCCATAGTTGTGGGGAGAAGTCATGGATTCATACCATTCCCAAGGTTATTCGATCGTAAGTGAATATATCTACGCCAACTGACATTAGAACTCGGTTCCCAGATTAACAATTCCGTGCCATTATCCATTACACCACCAACACATCCAAGCTTACATCACCTGCTGTTCCCAAGCGGTTGTCCATCAAGGTATTAACCAGGCTCAACGTTGCTTAACTGCGGTGATCGTACGGGAGCCGATACTTCAGCCTAATGTGGTCGTTATCTTATTTCTTGAGGATGCTGGGATGTTCACGGACGGAAAGAAAATGAACGATTCATCCAAATAGTTTTATGACTGATAATTTGGTCATAGTTTGGAAAGAACTGAACGGCAAATAATTTTTCAGCACTCCTTGTTTATCTGTCATGTTTCTTGACGTTTTCTGTTACTCTTTCATTAAGATGTTGCTTAAAATAAATAAAGAAAGCGATGAACTGTCTGGAAGACAAAACGAAGAAAAGGAGTATTTGAAATTCACAGGACATATTTAACGCAACTTTGACAATGGAAAACTGAGTAACATATTCATTAAGGTTTTAATTTTGAGGGAGGAACATGTACAAACTGTGATGGCAAATGACAAAAAACATATTATTGAGTGGAATAAAATCAAGAAATAGGGGAGAAACCTGCCTGACCACATTCTTAAAGAAAAATGATTAAGTACATTTACCCATAGATCAAGCCTCGACTCTATCAGCGTTTAAGAATTTTCTGTGAAATGGCCTTGCTACCATTTGTGTATGAGTTCGATTCTCACAGAATGTCCTGTCAACTCACCTTAAAATCTGCTATAAGGAAAAAATCTCGTGAGAGAATGTTATTTAGAAAGTTCGGTTGACAGAATTAATTATTCTGACCAACTCCTGATGTCATTCGTAAGCTAATCTACATAACGCCATACTGTGAAGAAATAAAGCAAATGTTAAATAACTCGGTTCTCTATGAATTGCCTGAGTATTCCATTCTTACTAAGAGTTCCCTACCTCCAATTACAAAGTGATAAAAAAAGCTAAGCGCAGAAAAAAAAGCCTACCAGAAAGGAAACGTTGTGTAGTCGCACATAATATTACTAAAAATATACTTAATGAATGGTGTTTTCTTTTCGTTTTTTTTTTTTTTAAAGTGGGGTGCTTTTCTTAGACTAGACTGTTCCGATTTCATTTCGGGTTGTTTTGTGAAGTGTTGTTGAGTACGCGTTCGCTACAAGCTGATAGAATGAAACAGCCTCTCACGAGTTTGATTCTAGAGCTTACTGACGGCTTTCTAAGACTATGTTGAACAAGAGGAAATATTCGATCCGCCAGCTCTTCAATCAGTTTAGAATACTGGCATCTGCTGATGAATCAGCTTACTTTCGTCGGAAATTCACTTCCTACTCCACTGGTGACACGTCAGGAGTATCTTTATCTGTTTTTCTCCCTCAAACCGAATTTCTACTCAGTGATATGAACATCGTCCATGTTTTTAGCTATCATATATAAGATCCCCAAAATAAACGTCTTTCTGAACTGGCTCCTGTTCTCTCGAAACTCAACAATTCTTAACCAGCTTCTTCATGCTTCCCAGCTTGTTGGAATTCCTCTTCTCTTTATCCTGACTTTAAGAACTCTGCTGCACCTTCTGATCCATCGAATTATCGTCTTATTAATCTTTTATCTCTGTAGCATGGCACCAGAGGTTTTAATCAACTCCCAGTTTGTTATGTATCTCATTTCACAAGCCTTCTTTTAGATAAGACTAGCAGTATGGCCCGACGTTGCCCGTGCTTGATTCAAAAATCGTACGTCTCATACAACAATCGCTATCACTTGACTTAAAATATTTTTGCCCTTCCTTGCCTTTAAAGGAGAGCCCTTGGCCGTGCTGATGTTGCTACATGCCTTACTTCTTGCCTATCTCACACTGCCAATTTTTTTAAGCTCTATACGAAACATTAAATCTGTTACGAAAAAAGAACTAAGCAAAATAAACACAAAAGGATCAGATTTAAAAAAGGAATCGTAACTGGAAAAACCGAATGAAAAGAGAATGTTTACAGCAAATACTTTTTCACACCCAACCCAGTTCTGCGGAATCAGAATCAACGTTGAGTTTAAGCAAGCGAATGAGCCAATTGGATTAAACTGCCATGCAGATTTAAATTTTTCCCACTTGTGACGAATGCATCTATCGATTATTTTTGCATGCTAGCAAGCTAGTTAACATTCGTGTCAGTCAGCTGTTGGCTCTCACGCTGGCCAGTAGAATCTTCCTGTCTATTCTTGGCAGCCAGCTATTGGCTCTCACTCTGGCCAGTAGAAAATGGCCTCATACTACATGAAAATTGCCGTAGAAGCACGAAAAATCGATTATTTCTACTATCGATGGGGGTTGGGAAATGCAAAGTCGGTCTTGAACTTCCCACTAACTTGGAACATGTGCATGTAAATTTTGGTGCAAATCCGTCGAAAATTGCAGCCGTGCATTCGTTACACACACACACACACACACACACACACACACACACAGCCTTTTATAGATAGAGATTATGGCTTTCGCTTCTCTGGATGAAGCCGCGAAATGTTAGCGGTTATTTCTGGAATGTTGTTGCTTTACAAGGCGTTTGACGGCATTTGACATAGTGGACATCTCCACTAACGCAATCGCTATGGTATCTATGACCGAATATTTGACTTAAATCTCTGGTTCTTAGGGTAATGAAGATCGCGTTGAATGGCTACCATTCTAGATCATTGCCCATTAATGCGGGGTTCCTTAGGGATCTAGCTTTGAAACTAATTTATTTCGTACCTTTAACAACGACTTCATGATGTTATCAATTCCTAGCTGGGTATGTATACTGTCGACACAATTATTTACTTACTATTTATCTTAATAGTAAGTCCAATATGCCAGACAATGTAAAACTGGCAGCTGCTCTCTAAAATCATTTTCAATCATTTTTCAACTGAGACAAAAGATGGCGTGTAAATTTTTTCACCTCGAAAACGAAACTGCTATCTTTTAATCATCCCAGAGGTTCATAGTCGACACTGACCCCATTGATCCTTCTTGGTCTCACGTTTTCTACTGATAGTTGAGTGATTCTGTTGAATCAATTGAATGTTCTGCAGCTACGAATTTTTATGGTCAGAATCCACCTTACACATTTATAAATTTACCATTCGAATGGAATATTGTTACCATATATGTTCTGGTTCTCTTGTTGTATCTCGAAATTTTCGACAACAACCAAGTAATGATTTGTAATGAAAATGATCCTTCCCTGGCATCTTGACTTCAGTCAGCTTCCCACCGCAGTGACGTGTATATCTTTTTTATAAATATTTTCATAGAAATTGTTCGGCTGAGCTTTCCTTCTTATTACCTGGACTGCATGAATTGAAGCGTGATACTAGTTTGCCAATTAGGTCCCATCGCTATACTGTTCAATTCGAGAGATATAACAGTAAGGTATAATCTAAAAGTTTATTTCCTTATACTTCTTCCATGCAGAAATATATACTGAACTCTTGTTTCTTGACAAATTTAAATCTAACGTCAATCGCCATCTTTTGTCTTCCTGGAGCCTATTGTTCTATTGTACTTTCTCTTCACTAATGTCTTCTCATTTTCTTTCACTGCTAGTAACAACGAGCATATTGTTGGCATCAACGACTTGCTTGCCGTAAAGTTTTTTTTTTAAAAAAAAAAAACATCTACGTGACCTGTTGGGTCCTAACTGTGATGTGGTGAAACTAAGGAATGTATCTCATCTGAAGATTTTCCATTAGGAATTTAGGGATTATAGGATAAAGATAACTAATCACCCACATTGCCGCGCGGGTAGATGCTTTGGACTATATCAATACTTGAAAAAGAAGGCTAGGCTGTTCGAGCCCAAATAAGAGAACAGTATACCATTTTCGGTCCGATCTGACACTTGTAAAGGTAAAGGATTACTGTAGGAGTTACGTAATTACTGGAGTAGTACAGGGAATTGACCAACTTTTCATCATCTTTAGCGATGTATGGTATATAGGTCTGGGGTAAGTAGGTGATCAAGACATGGCGTCTCCTTCAGAGGTCACCCGTTCACTGCGATAGACGAAACGTCCTGGTCTGTTCGGTGATAATGGAACCTTACTTGTTTGGGATTGTTTAAGATTTTAGGTACCGGATGTGACCGGCCAGATTTTACACCATTGCGTTGTTAGATCTAGATCACATTAGTTGCCAGAAGTTGGTCACCCTAAAAGTGACCTATATATATATATATATATATATATATATATATATATATATATATATATATATATATATATATATGAATGGTGGTCCTCGCTTGAAAAAAACTTAGGTATTTCGGCTTGTAGTAGAAGAAACTAGTACCCAAAGAAAAATGAGGAATTAAAAAAAAGAAAAGAACATGAAACTAAGGCGAAAACAATCGTCCATATTTCAAGTTCAGAGTCCAAAGAAAAAAACCTCCAAAACGAGTAAAAGCAACTACGTAAAGTGCTCAATACACGAAATAGAGCAAACCTAATAAAAACCTAAAGAGCCAGGTAAACCTACCTAGGTTTCACCTAAACGGATCGTCAGCGTAAAGCTGCCTCTAGGTAGGTTTGCTAGGCTCTTCAGGTATATATATATATATATATATATATATATATATATATATATATATATATCAGTAGAAAGTTTGTCACTTAGCTGATTGACGTTACCTTTAGAATCCCGACTCCAGGATCTCATAGACGGCCCCGTTCGTTCATGTCTAAATACATAATGTATTTGTTATTTATTAATGCGAATGATCTGTAACTCACACGCTCTTTCTATTGGATACCCATGTTTCATAGACGTCGTATTCATTTTTAAGTTGGAAATTTAAAAATGAAACATCCTTAGGATATTTACAATTTAACGCGAAAGTCCGTCCTTTAAGCCAAATTAATCAGCAGTTTAAATTAAAGCTATGAGTATACCGTCAAATGAGTCTTTCCAATCTGAGGATTTGTAAGACGTCAGAGAAGAAAAAAATGGCGGCGAATGACAAGAAAGTAATCGATAAATGCATGACGTTCGTCATTGATATCATGATAAAAGATGAAAGGAAAGCTATAGTTTCATGATGTGTGTTGTGCGAGACATGCTTCAAATAGGAAAGTTTTCATGCTCACGATTCGTTTATAGTTTCGCAAGTTCAGGTTGATGAAATCAAGTCGATCGA